GTTCACCAAGCAGGAAGAGGGGGGGGGAAAAAAAAAAAGCCTTTCAAAGATCCCCTATCACTCACCTCAGTCTTTACTTCACTGCCCCAAGCAACTCATCATCACAGAGACTGGTCTCCAACTGAAGGAAATGAAAGATGACTCCCAGGGACTGCATGAGTGCCACCAGAAGTCTCAAAAAGTCCTTCTTTTAGCTCGATTTGTCCAAACACTTAACGTATGAGACTAAAAGCACTCTCTTGACTGAGTTGGAGGAGGTGACTGGTGGTGTTGGATTTTTTGCTGCTTTTTCTTGTCCCTGACTCAGGAGGGTTTGCACCTCTGCTGCCAAACCGCAAACTGTATATTGCCCACTTAATGTACACAGGCAAAGAGAAGCCAAACTAAACACTGGAACAGTGAGACTCTACAAAGGGACTGGATTCCTCAAATGCATCAGTCAGAACAGACCTTCTGAAGCTCATTATCAATAGGCTTATCTTTGGACTGCTCTCCTAGAACAATGGATTTTTCAATCTGTGTTTTGGTGAAGGGGATCATAATGTATTTACAAAATCCTCCATATCTTCAGAGAGTGCAAAAGTGACTCTTTCACTCTGGAGTAAATTCACTGATATAACTGAACATATCTATTCCCCTGCTCCCACCATCCCAACAGTCCTGCTGCAAGGCACACTTCCCAACCTTTCTCCAATTCAGGGGACAAAGACCTCTTGAGTGTCTCTTTGGCTGGCAAAAGGGGAGCAGCATTAAGTCTGAAGTGTTTCAGAGTTCCGTAATTTCTCAAAGCAATAGTACTTGTGTCATACTGAAAGAGAAGGGCAACAAAGTGACCAAAAGACAGTTGAACTTCAAAAATATATCCAAAATGTATCATATAACTAAACAGTTCTGATGGGAAACAAAACAAGATGTGGCCTTCTAGGCATTGTGAAATACGTCTAAAAAACTCCTCTTAGAATTCATATAATTCTTGTATTTTTATCTGCTTCCCACAATCCAACTAGGAATTCAGATTCCTGAATTCATGAATCTGAGGCATTCATAAACTTTCTTTTATAGAATGAAGAATTCATTAATTACTTCTACTAATTATTATTACAAACAGATGCTACTATAATATACCTACAAGGTTCTACCCATACTCTGTTATGTACATTCCGTAGCTGGTGATAAATCCTGCACTGTAAAGTACTTCATAAAAAAAGTCTGATCATTATTTGGCTTACAGAGAACGTAACAAACTTCCTTCTCCTAATAAAGCTGAACAGATGCAACTTAATCTCCAAATCATTACTCCCAATCTTGACATGAAGGCTGCTAACAGCAGTATCTGACAACACTATATATTTAAAAATCCATCTATAAAAACATCATATAAAATTGTATATGGCCACATACAACACAAACAGATTTTATGTAATACCTGTACAGTCTCTGCTCAATCATCTTGAAAGAAGAACTCATGTGAACATTTAAAAAACTCAATATATTTGAGTTTCAGCTATCTTCAGCTGAATTTTAATATATTATTCCCTAAGAGACTCTTAATGACAAAACAGAGTTTAAAGGCATTACTGTCTTATAACAACATTCCCAAATTTGAACATCAGAAGGATACTTATTATACTAGGTGTTTTTGCCAATAATTCTCCCAGTTATGACCTCCCAGAAACAGGAACATAAACACGAAGAAGGTTCTGAGGAGCTGTCAACACTATAAGTGGTGGAAGTAACATATCACCAGCTCCCCAAAGCAAAGACCATCCCAAAAGTCCATTCTTAGCTGAACCAATTGCATCACTGACACCAACAAGCTATATTGTAACTACAGTGGTAGCTTTGCTGCAGTGCTGATGGGTATGAAATCTCTAAAAACGCAGTGGAAAAACTGATGTGAATCTGGCCCCATGATCCTCAGGGCCAACTCTTCTACACATAACAGAAGGTAAGAATATTTACTTTGGGGCTGGAGGAGAGGGGAAGTCCCATTCACTGAGGAACGGAGCAGGGAAACTACTGGTCAAAATTCCCGATAAGTGTTATCACCTGAAAGGAAGCTGGAACTTGGCACTGTGTTGCAATAAAACTCTTGAATGTCACACACAGGTTTGGCCTCTCTGGGAGTGCCGTAAGATCTTACGGAATTTGGGTCTCACTCTACTTAATGCCCTAAGCCTACTTCGGGCATGCTCTCAGCACAAAGTTAAACACACACACACATACATATATATATTTTTTGTGAGACCAAGGCCCTGATTATTGAGTGAACTGAACTCTTCCCGAGATGAGACAAAGCTACACAGCAGTATTTACTCCACTGTATGAGGTTCATAAAAGTGCCTTAGCCTGAGGTCAGATGGGAACACGAGACTTTCACTGTCAGGAAAGGCTGTTAGTACAACAGGTCCTCCTAAAGGAGCATAGGCAATAACTGAACATACTTCCCAATACTTTAACATAATTTTTATATTCTCATTCAAATGGTGTACTAACAAGCTTAGTATAGATTAAAGCACGTTTCATCAGAGGGTTAATATTTATACATTACTTCAGCATGCAAAACAGCTCAGTAAAAGTGACAATAGAGTGTAATTCACTAATGGCAAATTAATTACAGTAATTTAACAAATGCAACACCCACGTGTCACTGACTGACGAAGCCAAGCAGTATGCCTAAAAACATAAATAGCTGGAGATTTGGTTCAACTTACAGAAGGTATTCTTGTTCTTCTATTTTATTTTAATTTTCACAGAATTGCTATGCTAATCCTCACAATTAATTTTAGCAGCTTTCAGGATAAAAATAAATAATTCAGCTAATTTGCAAGTTACAAAACAAGGGAGGGGACTTCAAGCATGCTCAAGATACGTAAGATAAATGCCAGATACCACACCTAGACAAGCTTGAGCTAGTTACCATCAGGACAAAAACAATCCTTCAAGTTATTTTTCAGAATGCTGATGCTATTAATGGATGTTCTCCAGTTGGACTACTTTTTCCAAGCATGTAGTTATTACAAGGAATCAAGAAAACACAAAGTATGCAACTAGAAAAGGATGGCAATACTGAGTGTGATGTGGAATAATGTATCATCAACATCACAAAATATTGAATTGGAAGAAAGATGCTTCAAGTGAGGCCTTCTTCACAGGTGTTGCAGTATTATGATTAAGCAGTTATTCATCCCACTAAGATACACTGCCTTTATGTGGTCACAAGATAGTCATGGATCTATTTGCTTCTTCACTAAAAATCTTACTTTAAACTTGCCATTTATACTCCTAACATATGGCAGCCCTTATTTATTAGTGAGCAGATGAAGACAGTGTACCCCTCCTGGCACTTCTCCCGCACTGGTAAACGCAACAAGCTTTGCATCACTCCAAGGACAAAGTACGGTGTGGTACAGCAATTAAAAAATTATTACATGCCATGGAAAAGTAAGATCAAATTCAGAGTTATTCTGAAGAGAATGTCCTGCATCTGAATACAGCTGCCTAGGTTATTAATCCTCATCACTTCATTTACATTTAATCCACTCCCTCCTGACACCAAGGCAAGTTGCAGTACAGCATTTAAGCAAGGAGGGGGTAGGAAAAAGTTTCACCTTTGAGCAACCATTGGATACACATTCTAATGATTCCCTTGTGCTTAGCACGAGCTGTACAATACTCCGTGATGGTGCACCATTTCATCACTGGACGAAACATGTGCACCTTCCTCCCTCTCAAGGTACTTTGATGGTGTAACGAGTATCCTTGCAACAAAGCCTGTCGAGCAGTTTGGTACCATGAGAATAGTTATGTTTTCTATCTTAGAGGAAAATATTATTTTATTACAATAGGGTTTGACAGCTTTCTGTTAATGTTCAACCGCTGGGACGAGGCAGTTTGAGATATAGGAAGCAACAGCTACGCTGTCTTAAGGTCGCCAGAGGCGGCAGGCCATGTGCCAGAAACCTCGTGTACCCTGCGAGGGTCAGGCTGCAGACAAAGCTTTGGGGTATTACGTTTATATAGGTATATATATTTATAGCTATATATATTTATGTATGTATTAAAAATACCAGTTGAAAACTACATCCATTACAAAATAAAACTTGCATATTGTTTGACCTATATGAACAGCCTTTAGAATGAGCAGTACTTAAAGGAGGCAGCAACTTTGAACGCAGCTGACAACTAACAAGTTGATTTTCAGCTTCACGGTAAAAAATACAGGCAGTAAAATGCTCGTCCTATACAGCCAAATTAACCTCGGTAGCGCAAGTCAGACAAAAAAAAAATTATAACGTGCTCCACGTTTAATGTGCTTCTCAAAGGGCCTCATCTCCCTGACTATCTGAGAGTTTAGCCGAGTGTTGCTCCTGCCTCAAGAGCACATGTGCCCATCCTCAAGGCTACCGGTGCTGCAAGCCTGTACTCCAGCGGCAGGGACAGCTATCCGGCTCTGCCAACCTCTTAGAGGGTGCATTAACAAAGAAACTTACTTTAACTTCTGTTTTTCTGTACGACTTTCTGAACAGAATACTCGAGAACTCAGAAAGAGGAACAATCATCAGCCACACATTAATCAGTGCCTAAAGAGGGGTTTGGTCCGATTTTAGAATAAACGGCGGAGACACATGATCCAATTAAATTCTAATTATGTAAGTAGTAGGCAAGAGTATTTACACAGGCACTGATTACAGCTATTAGAGTCTAAAGTCGCCGGCCGGAGAGGCTCTGCTTCCTCCCCGCCGCCGGGCTCTTTTCATTTTTAACCTCCCTTTTCACAGCTCTCCGTACAGACAATAGGAGACGCCGGCTCGAGAGCCCGGTCTCCAAACCCGGACGCCAGCCTGGAGGAGCCGCAGCTCTCCCCGGAGTGATGATTCATTACCCGTCCCACCTCAGAGCCGGGGAAAGACACCCCCCCTCCCACACCCCATCCCACCGCCCGCAACCCCGGCCCCGCAGCCCCACAGCAACCCTCCCGCCCCGCCGGTGTCCCTTACCTCCGAACAGGTGCGGCGAGAGGTGCGCGGGCAGCGAGCCGATCACTAGCCGGGGCGCGCCGGAGGAGCCGCCGCCGCCGCCCCCCGCGGGCCGCTCCCGGCCGCCTTCCTCCGGGGTGCTGCTGACCGAGTCCTGCGAGCCGTAGGGGCCGCTGCTGTGGGGGATGTTGAAGGCGGACTGCGCCGCCCGGGCCCCGGAGGCCGTGCCCCCGCCCAGGGACCTGCTCCGGGGTGCCGACCCCGCGGCACTCGCCGCCGCCGCCGCCGTCGCTCCTCCGGCCGCCGCGGCCGCCGCGCCGCCGGGAGCAGCGTGAGGCGCCGCCGCCAGGTGCGCGTAGCGCCCGCCGCCGCCTGCCGAGCGCCCGCCGGTCCCGTTAGCGCCGCCGCCGCCGCTGCTGCTGCTGCTCGAGGAAGGCAAATCCCCGCCCGAGTACGCCCGGGTGCGGCCATTGGCGGCGGTGGGGCTGCTCTGCTTCGCGCCCATGGTCCCGCCGCCGCCTGGCGCTGCCCGGTGCCCTTCGCCGCCGCCTTCCCCGCGGCGCCCAGGGGTGGTGGTGGCAGTCCGGCCCCGGCGGGGGCGATCCGAGGAGCGGGTCGCGTCGGGGAGGGGGGAGAGGGAGCGCCGGGGGAGGGGGACGGGTCGCTCGGTGGGTCGGTGTGGAGAGGGGAGAGCCGCCCGCCGGGATCCGGCTCAGCTGGCGGCCCCGGCGCGGCCGCTGCTGGCGGGTCTGGGGCGCCACCATGAGCTGCTCGGGACGGTGCTGGCTCCCGCCGCGCTGCCGTTCGGCCCCGCCGCCGCCGCTGCTGCTGCTGCTGTGCCCGCCGCCGCCGAGACCGCCACCGCCATCCTCCTCCCCGTTCGCCGCCGCTGAGCCCTGTGCGGGGCACCGGCGGCAGCAGCGCCGCCGAGGCCGCTCGCTCGCCCGCGGCGCGCCGTGCCTGTGCCGAGGAGGCGGGAGGGGGCGGTCACCCCGGCGCAGCCGCTCCTCTACCGTGTCGCCATGCTGGGGGCGGCACCAGCGGGCGGGATGGGGAGCGGTTACGGCGGGCGGGGGCCGCCGCCTCGCCTCCCCTCCCGCGCCCAGCGGGAGACCGGCCCCCGGCGGCGGCGCAACGGGCCGGGCCCGCCGGCTCGCCCCGCCTCCCGCGCCGCTCCTCCCGCAAGGTGCGGGACAGCGCCAGGTGAGGCCCGCGTGGGCTCCGGCCGCGCTCGCCTCGGCAGGAGGGAGAGATCCCGCGACCGGGCCGCCGCCGGGACGCGCGCACGCACTCGCACACGAGGGCAGCTCGCTGTCCCCCGCCCGCAGGCGCGTCCCGCGGGGCAGCAGCGAAGCGGCAGACGGCCGCTGGTGGAAGGCGAGCGGTCCCTGTGTCTGCGTTCCGCTAGAACCCCGGCAGGTGAAGGAGAGGAGCGGCTGCAGCGGGGCAGGGCCGCGGTGGCGGAGCCCTCCTTTCCCCTCCTGCCGCGCCGCCGCTCGGTTCTCCGCCACTGCGGCCCCAGCAAACGCCCGGATGCCCGGGCTCGGCGCCTGGGGCGGCTCCCGGCTGCCCGCCTGGGCCGCGGCTCGGCGGGGGAGAGCGGGTAAGGGCCGCTTGCCCCGTTTGGGGGCTCTCCCGGGTCGGCGACTCCCAACCCTGACTGTTTGCTGCGAGCCTCTGAGCTCCGAGAACCTGGACGTAGCAGGAGACATATCGGGAAGCGTGACAAGCAGGACGAAAATCTCTGACATCTTTGGTTCACAGGTGGTACAGGAAAATCCTGTGTACCTCAGTCTCTCACTCAAATTCACATTTTTCTACACGAGGATTAACTAAACCGAAAATTTTCTCCTAGTGAATAATACCCATGTGGATAGCAGGCTCAGTTTGCTCATGACAAAACATTCAGAGACATAAAACTGTTTTGTGCCTTGTTTGATACTGAGTGTCACATACATCGAATTAATATAAACATGATTCCTACAGTTGGTCATCTGAGGAAAACTGCTTGTTTTTATGGATTATTGTTTGTTCTAAATTAGACTATGTCACCATGAAGCAGTGCTTCAGGACTTTCTATCATACTGTCTCAGTAGGGGTTCCAGCTACATTCATGACTGTATCACAATGGCCCAGTATGTTATAATTAATACCTTAAAACTGATCCAAACCATAATTAAAATACAAAGTATTATGAAGCATTACATTTACACTTGTGGCATCTTTGATGCTCCTTCTCAGATGTGAAAGGCCTCCTGTTCCCCCTCCTTTTGCCATGTCTCTTACAACTGCACGTGGCATCACATTCTGGCATCAATGAAGCTCACAGCTGGGTCTGCAAGAAGAGGTTCCATCCTTGGGGGTGGCACGGGAGCTTACTAGCCCTAACTCTTCATTCCAACACCCCTTTTCTGGATAGCTGAGGCACTCTGTGAATACTCTGAACCCCATTTAGAGAATGCTGGTGTAAACTGTTTGCCCGTTTCAGCAAGAGGCAGTGATTCCACAGCTGTCTCATGAAGAGTCTTTTGTGTGCTGGGTGTTGGGCAGACAGCTGGGGTCGATAATCTGCCGTCCCAAGCTATGTCATCCCCACTTGTGAATTATAAGCTTCAGTCCCTGCTAGCAGTGGTAGATACTCCAGAGTAGATCAATCATGAGCACTTTCTAGTTCAATTCCTTGCAGAAGGAAAATCGGTGTGGATATGCTGTCTGCTCTGCCACTGGTTACTTTTTAAATCCTTGTCCAGCTTCAGCCAAATCTCTCAGAGACATTAACAGTATAGAAGTTGTTATGTAGAAGATGGAGATTCTAATGTTCCCACAGAAAGGAAAGCTACTATAGGAATTCCTATCCTGCTAGATTCCAGGAATCTGCTTGGGCAAAGGATGTTGCAAACATGACTCATAATTTCTGCTGCTCGCAGAATGCCTGTGGCATGTTGAGCCCTTTTGGAGCAGGGTTAGAGGGAGCATGCTCAGAGTTTTATGGAGTTTTTAAAATTTCCACTACTGAGTGTTAGTAGAGCTGTTCAGCTGCTAGAATAAACAGCATTTTGAAAATAGTACATTGCTACACAGTATCATAGCACTTTCTGTATTTTTTTTACAGTGGATTTAAGAGTTGAGCAGGTATTAAATACAGATCATATTTGACTGTGAATAATATTTTATTCAATTTAGGATTAAATTATGAAGCCTATGGTGGAAAAAAGCCCTACAAAAAAGGCATCTGGTTACGCAGTCTTACAGTCAGAAGGTTACATTTAACAGCATAGGATATTTCACAGAAAAGAAATCACAACAACAGGACAGCCTGTGTTCCCTTCTCAGAGAGCATGACTGCTCCCAGTGCAATGTGATTTTCTTTTTTTTTTTTTTTTTTGGTAGGCTTCAGTTTTTGTTTTACATCTAGGACATATTTGCAGTTCTCTCACTATCAAGTGTGAGTCTAAACAAGACACATCTCTCAAATAACACCTACATCTTCAGAAAAAAACCAAAAATGTGCCACTCCTCTGAGCCAGCTTTCTCCCCTCAAATCTTCTTGGTCTCTCTGAAAAATTAATAGAATTTTTTCTCTATATGAAAATTTGCTTTATATAAGCAACAGTACAGTTAGGTTTTCAAGCTAACATTTCTTTTAACAAATGTCTATTAGCTGTCTAGTCTTGTAGAGGCAAGTACCTGGTGCTGTAACCTGCACCCATTTGTTCATTACTACACTCCAGAAGTAGCTTGCATAAAAACTTCATAATTTACAAAAGAAAGTCAGTAGTGATGAGAGGAAGCATTGCAGAGAGAAAGCAGAATATCTTGCTGCTGACCATACATTAACAGATTTCAATAACTTACTGGAAAAGCAGATAGTTATATAAAAATTAACTTCTATAAGTCTATATGAGTGAATGCTGCTATTATTCCTGTAGAAACATATCTAGGGAATCATCATACTTAAATAAGCACTACTTGTTCCTTGTCCAGGATAGTGGGAAAAAACTGGTTTAGACAGGCAAATATACTCACTGTTCTTTGTTATAAGCTGCATACCTTCAGTTCTGGTTACACCACTTTGTCTATCAGCAAGTGAAAGTAATGAACTTGATTCTTGACCAGTTTACTTGAACATACTGGGTGACAGGTGTGCCCTGAGCATGCAAAATTAGGTGTAAATTCATAATATTGCACATTTTGGAAAATGTGTGCTGATAAATGGAACAGGGGCCTGCATTTTGCTTGACAGTGAGCTATGCAGTGGGATAATTTCCCCTCTCCCTTCCTGCCCCCTCCTTTTATGGCTTTTAAAGGGATACTGAAACAAGGATTTAAGCAAGGTTTCATTATTGACAGAAGCTTCTGACCCTGAACTAATAAAGACAGAATTTCATTCTGTTCAGAACCCATCAGATGGTTTCTCTAAATGAGAAAGATTTTAAAAGTAATGGCATATCCTCATAATGACTAGTGTGGGCTTCTAAAACCTTCTAGAAAGGTTTAGCCAATTAGATTTTCTGAGCAGGTACCAGGCTAGAAGTGCACATTGCGATTGGAAGAGGTCAGTGCAGTTTTTACATTACTGTGTATTTCATCTGTTTGAAAGAAATAGCTCTGCACACCACTTCTGTACAGATAACTGAAAATAGAGACTTCTGATGTGTTCAGCTGCTCATAGGGAAAGCAAAACAGAACTGTTTTATCCCCCTGAAATAAGATGTGTAAAGTGCACATGCCTTGCATCTGTAGCTAGAGTAAGCCATCCATCAGACGAGGCTGTTTTATGATCACATCTGTACACTGAGGGAAATAGGTCCCAATAATCCCTCTCAGTGTGACTACAAACAATACATAAACCTATTGTAGGAATCCTTTTAGATAGATATTGGTGTCAGTGATGCTCCAGCTGGTGTCTGGTATTTTTATAGATGCAGGGACCCCATTATCCAGATTTAGATTTTTATTTACATTGAATAACTCTTTACACAGTTTGATGTTAATCATATGAAGATTTAGGCACTGACATATGAAAAACAATTCTGCAACATGTTGAGATCAGTCTTCATGGAATAGAAAACCAAGCTGCTTGTCAAACTCAAGGTTTGGTTTCTAAAATTGTTTTGGAAATGTGTGATGATGCTCACAAGGGTAAGGAAGTTCACCCTTGCTTTATAAAAATTCTGTTTAAAGCCTTCTATCTTTTGTTTTAAGTTTATGCTTTTCTGAGGTTTCTATCACACTGCAGATAATACACTGTATTTTGTACTCTAGAGTTGCCCATAGAGAAAACTGACATTCACAAAGAAGATAACTTAATCTTGAAAATAAACTGGCATTTTGACTGGACTTATTGATTTACCACTTTGTATAGGAAGAAATACTTGGAAATAACATACTTGATGAAATGGCAATTTGTGCTGTGCACTTCATTACCAAATGCTATAAAGTACTGCCTTAAGAAATACACTTCAGTCCAAGATTTCTTATAGGAAAGGGTATTCACCCTGACAATTTCTATGCTGTCCTACTCACA